TTTCTTTTTTTAGCCAACAATTGCTCATTACTTCATAAAACTTCTTGAAGATAAAGGCTTGTTACACAGAATCTACACACAAGTAAGTGATTTATGTGGTTACAGCATAATAAATTGTCATATTGGGGTGTTAGAGAATAATGCCATAAACCATACTGTCTTGTGAAGGATTTTAAAATATTTTAGCTTTACTCAAGATCACTCYAGCTGCAGATCAACATAATTTAATTTAATTGATTTGTTGTTGTTGTTATTGTTGTTCCAGCTGCCATTGATTGTTAGTTAACCCCCATACTATTTAACAATTAGACCTCGAGGTCGAGTGGACTACGAGCTAATAGCCCATGAGGCYGAGTCCAYGAGGCCRAATGGGCTATTMGCTCGTAGTCCACGAGGCCGAGAGGTCTAATTGYTTTAGTATAAACATRCTAATCRGTCAAATAATGAAAACAAATTGAAATATCCTTAAAGTCATTTATTAATGAGATGCCGCCATTTTTCCCACGAGTGGTCTATCACAAATTAGACCATTAGTAGAGTAGCCAATCACAGCRCAGTATGWGTGATAGACCATTAGTATGTTTATACTAAATTGCCATATGCCATGCCATATCTAGCATGATGTGATATTTCTCGATAAATACAATATCACACCCACTGCTCTATCCCAATGTGAAAAAAAAAAATATTGGGCTGGATTTTGCCCGATTGTGGTAGCCTGTTCTGCAATTCCAGGTGAGGGGGAAAGGGAGCCTCCTTCATCTCTCCCTATCCCTAGAACTGCTTTGCAGGCTATGTCTCTCATGACATTAATCTGCCTTTACGCTGTGCAATTTTCACAGTAATTTTACTCTCAGCGCTATTAAGACACAAGTTGCTGGACAAATTGCGCAGTGCTACAAAGGGTGGTCTTGAACTTTTTTGCATGAATGCAAACTTTTGCACAAAGAAAATATTTGAAGGCCTACTTTTCACAAAACATTGTAGCACCTTGAACTTTATTTAGTACCTCGTTTGAGTAAAATAATACATTTATGTACAATATACTTTGTCTTGAATTCCATTTTGTTCAGAATATTGATACYCTCGAGAGACGATCTGGCATATCTGGTGACAAAATAGTAGAAGCACATGGAACGTTCCATACTGCACATTGCCTTGATTGCGGTAAAGAATACTCACAASAATTTGTCAAGGGTAAATACGCGTCAAATATATAGTCCTTGTGCTTTGATATTACATTACCTCTTTGACATTTGTGTATGTAATTTGCAAACCGCATTGTTATTAGGGTTAAAATTGCTGAAATTTGCAGGCTTTTGGGGTGTAGTTCCCTTTTTTGCAGCCTACTTACAAGATGATTTTATTRAAAAAAGTGACATTCGTTCTCTTAGCACTTTTTGTATGCATGTTTCTCAGTGAGCGTAAAAACGAACAAAAAAACCTCGCATTTATTTAGGTCAGCGCCATCCAGAAATTACATGACTCCAATATTTGCGCTTTCATCAACAACTGACAACGTTTTGAGCATTTTAGGTTAATGCATAGTTTTTAGAGGGCACTGTCTCCCTTTACTAACTATGGTTAATGACAGCAAAATGAAAATAGTTTGATTTCAGAAACGCTTCTTTGATGACGAGAAAAATTGTCGGCAAAGACGCTGAAATTGCCGGCTATTGAACCCTGGAACTTATATAGCCGGCTCCATTAGTGTAGTGTTGTTGCTCTCTTTGTAGATGAAGTATTTGAAGACAAAGTTCCCAAATGCACAGAATGTGAAGGATTGGTTAAACCAGGTAGATTTAAAGCTTTTGATTACTTCATATTTATAGAGAATTAGAACTATAGGATGATTTTTTTTTTCATTAGACATCGTATTCTTTGGTGAATCTTTACCATCAAGGTTCGTTCAGCTGGTATACCCGGTAAGCAGTTCTAGAAACAATAGTTTGTATTATCACAATAAAGGCTGTTAACTTGAGAAAGGTACTCAGGGTTGGCCCTTCTCTTCAGGTGAAAAATCCTTAAGAAGAACTAGAGCTAATTGACTGGGGGGGAAGGGGAGTGGGAACTTGATCCATATTCGAAAGGGGACGTTCCGCTGGTACCTCTAAATCCAGCCCTATAAATTCAAGACAGCAAAATCGTGAAATTGTGACTCTAATCAATGGCTAACTGTGGACCCAATCCAAAACATAAACTAGGTAGTTCTCCCGTAAAACCTTATGTTGCCACGCCCACCTTCGTAATACTCTGGTATTTCTTTAGGGGTATTTTTTTAATTTCTCACAATTATCCCCGCCTTGAATATAAAATACCCCACCTCAATATTCTATAGGATGATCAGTGTTATAAACATATCTGTACAAGAGAAAAGTGTTAAAGTGTTTGCATACTATCTAGGATATGGCAGCATGCGACTTGTTGATTGTCATGGGAACATCGTTGGTGGTCCAACCATTTGCTTCTATTATCGATAGGTAATTTCTTCAGGCACGGTTTTAAATTGTATGATCTACGGCACATATTGTTTACCACATCCTCGGGAACCCAGGGGTAATCTTCTGTCGTACGTTCCCGTTTCAAATTGTCGTACGACAGAAGATTAACCCTGGGTTCCCGAGGATGTGTTTACCAACACCATCATCTGAAACACACTCTCAATTCAATAAACATCATTCACACACCTTTCTACTAAATTGTAATCTGACATTCGTTTCAAATTGTTAGAGTTCCAGAAACAACCCCAAGACTTCTAATAAACAGAGAAAAGGCTGGATCTAGGGTAAATAAGTGTCAATTAATTTTCACAATTCTAAAATCATACAAGAATGACTTAAAATGTACGATTTCATTGGTAAGCARAATTCATCAAATAAAACGTTTCTTACCAAACGAGTTTTTTGCCATTTTTGCAGCAGATTTTGAAGCAAAAGCATGTGAAGGGCACATGCATTATCTTATGGTGCTGTTTTTAATAACCTTGAAAGTGGAAGAAATGCCAGCATTTCAGTAACTTTTACTAGCTATCATTCTTCTTTRTTTAGGAGGGAAGCTGGATGAACTTTCTGTTTGGTGGAGGTGGATTTTGTTTTGACAGTGAAGATAATTACAGGTAAAAATTATATTTACAGGGTGTCTTTATCCTGCTGCTTTAGCTCGGACGGGTCGGGTTATCGACCATCGCAGGGTGGCGAGAAGAGACATGCCTGCAGTAGACCTCTGAAGCTTTTACGTCATGAACCGTATACGCAATGCATTGTAGGATATGTTTGGGACAGAACATGGAGGATTTCTTTTGTTTCTCCAGAAACTGATCCCACAATGCATTGGAAATCAAAGAAGTGACGTAAAAGGTTCAGGAGTCTATATTCATTGAAAAGATCAAACCAGGCAACCCTTTATTTCACTTAAATACCAACTTGAAGAAACAAACCTTTTAACTGTCAAAACGTCCGTTACAGGTTGCTATTGTGGCTTAAGTAATAGTATAAATTTTTATCTGTTTATTCATTGTTTGTATAGTAGTCTCCTTAATGGTTTCCAGCGTCATCGCGAAAGGTAGCTGTGCCTTTGTGCATCGAATGGAGACGACTGTTGAGCATGCGATGTGATCGATACTTGTAAATTATTGTCTTGGTGTGAAAGAAGATTTACATCACTGCACGCTAAACGGTCATCTCGCTTCGGTGCAAAGAAACGGCTGCCTTTCAAAATGTCACTGGAAAAACGTGGAGTAGAATAATAAAAGACTTGTTCAAACCATCTGAAAATATTGACTGGTTTTAACCGTGTAGTTCTTTATTTGTAATTCAGAGATGTTGCTTGGCTGGGGAATGCTGATGATGGCTGTCTTGCACTGGCTGATTTACTTGGTTGGAAGGTARGCATTACTTGCATGGCAATTGTGTCCTATTCTCCAGGGAATGGTATAAGGTTTCGTACTGTTGTTGTTGTTTTGGCGGGGTTGGTGGTGGTCGAGGCGTGGGAGGAGGGGAGGTGGCAAATATTTTCAGATCTGATGAATCTCGCTAAACAACGTAGGAAATGTACGGCCGTGTAGAGCAAACGAAGGAAAACCATGAAATAAAATCAAACTAAATACTAACAAATAGCAGATATTTTATTTTATTTTCATTTTAAAAGAGGACAATTGTCAGTATCAGAGTACAAACACTAAAACTGTGCAACATAAATACCACTAAATACTGCTAAATTATGCTAATTCTATTGTTTTCTATTGTTCAATATAACACTATTTTGTAGTAAATAATGGAAAGTGTTGCACACATTTAATGTTTGTTCTCTAATGAACCAGAACACAATCACGATGAATGAAAAATTGTTTCATGTGTTCATCTTCATTGTGTTCTGGTTCATTGATACTGACAAATTGTCTCTAAATAGCCGCTATTTGTTAATATTTAGTTTGATTTTATTTCATGGTTTTCCTGTTTGCTTTTGCTCTATCGAAAATCTGGAAATAATTCAATTTCTTAACATATTCCACATGATGTCATTTCGTTTATTATTGAAGGATGAGCTGACAGAGATGGTTAAAAAAGCTCACAAAACTATTGATGATGCAAATAAAGAAACTGCCACCAAGGCGTCGCCCAAGAGTCCTACAACTGTTGGTCTGAAAAAAACTGTTGCAAAACCTTCTCCTAAATCTACTGTATCTGCAAGTGGAAAAGATGAGCTCTGCAAGAATAAAAGTCCTTCTCCAAAGAAGCCTGTGTCAGGCAGCAAAGAAGGTGAAGTTGCCAGCAAGAATATCCAGCAGGCAGTGGACGACATCAGTGATGAATTATCAAAAACGTCTCTYGAAGACACCAGCCAAGCTGGTGATAAATCAAAAATGTGATATTTRCAAGAATACTATACCAMATCAATTTTATCAATGAYATTTTCGTGCYTGYACAAGCAAAAYATCTATGGGAATTTTSTATTCGCGCCCCATAACACGGAATCTTAAATCCGTGAAAATTGACTGAGATCTATGGTCCGGAATCTGAGTCCGCTTTCATAGAATCCGACTTCGATAAAGCTGTGGAATCCGGAATCCAGGAGTTTGAGTTTCTGGYTTTTCAATCATTCCCGTGAGATTCAAAAGATAAAAGACCGGCTGCCATGTTGAGCAATAGTTTCTAGTGAGGAATCCTTCCTTTGTTGAAGTTCATCCAAGATGGCCGCTGTGACKAAAACGAAAAATTCTGGATCCAATAACGTAGTGGATTCCGTGGGGCAATTATATATGGGAGGAAATTTGAAAGCTCACACGTGTTATTATGGCACCTCTAAATTGCAATCAATCAGTCTATAATACTAAAACCACTATATTTAATTAATTTTTTACGGAACATGTTCGCTGGTGTCGTCGCTGGCTGACTCATGTTCCCAACACAGAATTCACTTCCTTTTTTATACCACGTTTATTTACCGGCAACTATTTTTATTGCATTTTCTAATTATTCAATTAGACGCACCGGGACTATCAACTCGTATTAAGTTTCCGAGTGGTCTAATTGTTTTAGTATCAACCAAAAAGACAATACTATAAGAATCGGTTTCTCTCGACATTTTTCGAGTGTTCTTTGCGTCATTCGATGTGACCATTGACATTTAGAATAGCGCATAGTTCATAGTTTGGTGGATACTAAATGAACCTTCATTGGACACAGGAAAGTAAAAATAAATAAATATATCATATATAAATGAATAAATTTCGAATATCAAGTCCTTATTTCAGCCTCGAATTGTGTCTTCAGCTCAGCTGATGTTTAGATCCGCCATACTGAAGAAATTTGAGGCTAACAATTTTTTTATGTATGCACGCAGTATAAAAATGTATTTTCAAGCAACAAATATGTTTTATTATTAAATTATAACAATGAAATTTCTTTCGCATGCTGTATGCATTATTTACAAAGTCATTAAAATATTTCACAATACACCATGTGTTGAGTTCCATAGTTTCTCTGGGGTTCTGGGGTATTGTTTCACTCAGTCGTTTCTCTTGTAGTTTTACGGGTCGTGTTGCATGAAGGGAAGTCAGAGCTCGAACTCTTTTCTTCCGACCTCCCTTGATCCATTGCGCGCCCCAGAAAAAAAAAGAAGAGTTACTACTGGGTACGAGTCTGACATTGGGTACACGTGCACCCAGGCACTTCCTCATTTTTTTTTTCACAAAGACGTAAAATAAGAATGAATCTAGTAAACGTTTGTAGGGTCTGCGATGATTCATTATTTTTTGCAAATTGATGTAAAGGAGTCTTATACTATTTTATTTTTCAATGGATGCCCCTTGAGGATTTTTGCTGAGCTTCTCAGGGAGGTTGTATTTTGTCTTAGATTGCAAGAAAAAAACAGATGGCTATTGTGTTTGCAATTAGGCTTTGCGGCTTGGCCTTACATGACCACACCTACCATGCATCAATCAGCTACAGCAAATTGATGTCCAGAAATGGAAATAGCAGATTGATACAGATAAAATGGCAAATACTTGAAAAATAAAAAGTCAAAATTTTATATTTACTGCCATTTTGTTTTCAAACAGAATACATGTACATAAGAAATAATAAATAAAATAAGTTTATTAAAGCCATAATCAAATGCAAAATCCTTTAAAATCTATAAAACATGGTATTTATAACTGTTCATTTACAAGAAATCTTATAAGAATAACTTCCATGCACTGAAAGTAATGAAAAATGTGTAATAATTTAACCTGTCAATAAAGTTTGAGCCTCAAATACAGTAGATAAATATCCCAATATAATTTGTTGTAAAATCTGTTCACTATTTACATCTATAATACATTTTTTTTTTCTTATATGGCAAGACTAGCTTCCCTGTTGTCATTGTGATGTCTCAACAACTTTTTGTCAACCAAAGTTGATCAATAAAACCCTTTAGTTTCAAAAATAACCCCTGATATTATAGTGTGTTATAAACTCTTTAAAATGGAYCTCACCACACATGATAAAACAATCAGGGCTGGTTGTGATTCACTCTATAGATATTGCATTAAACATCTGTTGGACTTACTATTCACTATTTGTAGAACCAGCCCCAGATTTTCTGCTCTCTTATTATAGTACAGGGTTCGTGCTACATTTTCACTACATAATTCAAGCACAACAATGCGATCTTCAAGGAGTATTTTTGAAATTTTTTTGATATTTACAGATGTTTCAAGTGGGGATTTTTTTAAAATCAGATTCAAGGAGTTTTCCAGGAGTTTCAGGGATGTTCCCCATTTYCAAGGACTTTTCAAGGAGTAGCACAAACCCTGTTTGAAATTCCAGTTGTCCTCCAGGTTCAACTCAAAACCTGTTTTAGAAATTGGCTTGTCATTAATCACCCTGTTCTACCTTATATTGCTAAATATCATAMGCTATTACAATTTTATCATGATAAATCAAGTAACAGAGTAAATAATACAGCAAATTTCATTAGTTTTGACCCCCTATGCCATATTCAAATATACACTATCAAAATGACCTTCCCTATTATGGGATATTATTGCTCATGTACAAATTATATTACTTTCCAAGAAAAATATTAGCGAAAGTATCCCATAATTTCTAAGGCCACTTTCAAATATATGGAAATTGGGTGTCATATTCTGTKCCATCTTTCAAGATGTCACATTAGATACACTATCTAACTGACTGAAAAATACCCCTCCTTTAAATTACACTATTCCATCCTGACTGCTTGAAGTAAGCTGGTCAATCCAATAGAAAAGGAATTACTATATTTGTCTGAAACCAGCTGTAACATAGGTACCTATAGTGGGAACAAGGTGACAAATAGTGACAAATAACCCCAGGGTGTTAGGGTATGGTTTTGTAATATAGCTTTGAGTAATTTAGGAATGACATGCACTAATGTGTTGAGTCAGGTAAAGACATGAGCTAAAACGTTCATCACAAAATTTACAGCAATGTTTTTCACTGTTGTGTCCCATATGCAAGTTATACGAAGACATGCTGTCAAATCCCTTGGAGCAATAGAAGCAAATGAAGTTCTTTGCATCTTTGTGATGGTCTTTGAGATGTCTAGTTAGATTGCCAAAGTTTGAAAAACTTTTGTCGCAAAGCCAGCAAGGCTTCCCTCCATTGTGTTCTGATTTCTGATGTTCTACAAAAGCTGGGTAGCTTTGAAGCAGTTTATCACAGCTTGGACAAGGAATTCTTTGTAAAGCTTTACAGAAATTGTTTCTATGTTTGAGCAGTAGTTGTCTTGATTTGTAGAACTTCCCACAACCAGAACATTCAAAACGTTTTTCATCAATAACTACTTCATTGTTCTTTTGCTTCAGKACATTTTCTGAATGTGCCTCTGTCCTGCGATGTTTCTTCAACCTCTTTTCATTTTCAAAAATCTTCATGCAGCACTTGCATTCCCAAATCTTTGGTTTTGATTGGAATTGATGGCCACGCATATGATTGGATAAGCCAATTCCTGACGAAAATGTTGCCTTACACTCTTGACACTCATGTTGAACTGTAGCATTGTCATTAAGACTGCTGCTAGTTGAAGAACCAGTACACTTATGAAAGGATAGCAATTTTGAAGACGAAAACAACATGTTACATTTTTTGCATTGAGATTTATTCTGGCTGTGGTGCTTACGCTGATGTTGGTAGAATACACTGTACAGATGAAAACCTTTTTTACAAGGCTTGCACTTAAATCTCTTCCCTGTGCCTTTGCCACTGCGATCTCCATGTCKTTTTAGGTCTTGGTGTCTTATAAGAGCATATCTACTGCTGAAATAACTCTTGCAAGTAGTACACTGGAACTTGTTCTCTTTTTTAACGTACTCATCTTGGTATTGATTTTCAGAGTAGTTGTAACCCTTGCGTAGTCTTAAATTGGGGCAGTTACTGGYCGGCTTGTCCTCTTGAATATCATTTGTCTCTTCGCTGTTGTTGTTCATGTCATTATCTTGGGAGAAAGAAGCGTCATTCTCGCATGGCTCATTCTTTACTTTCTGGGGGGCACTGTTTTCAGCAGCTTGTAAATCCATACTTTCTATATCTTGATTGTCAGATGCAATATAAAAGCTTTCATCAATATGGCTGCTTTGAACAGCTGTTTGTCCCTGAAAAGCACCACCACCACTTTCTTGACAACTGGCGATGGTGACWGGCATTTTTCTTTTGCACTTTTTCATGTGAGAACGAAGATTTTTTCCATAGGTAAATGCCTTGCCACACACAGTGCATGCCCCAGCTTCACCTTTGTTGTGGATTCTGTAATGGTTTGAGAGTGATGATGAGGTGTTAAACTTCTTAAAACATAAGGTACAAGTAAAAAGGGAAGATGACTTGTGCTGTTTCCTTTTATGTCTCTTCAGGTCTGTGAATTTTGCGAACTTCATGTCGCAAATGCTGCAAGGATGCATGCTAAGGTGATAGGACATATGGCGYTCCAGCATGTCTTTATCTTTAAACTGCTTGTTGCATTGGTTGCATGGGAATACACCATTCCTGTTGATAGGAATGTGTGTCACCACATGCTTTGTGAGCTGWACTCGACTAACACAAATCTCAGGGCAATASAGACATCGGTATTTGTTGTTTTCTAGCTTGTTACTATGGGARCAATTCTTTCTGTGTTTTTTCAATGACTCATATGWTTCAAATGATRAGCTACAGTCCAGACAGTAGAAACTTCTGCTGCTGTAATGAACTGGAGACACTGACTTATTCASGGWCTGCTTTCCCRCTTTTACAACTTGACGACTGTTGAATTTGTGAATTTGGGAGACTTTCTTATGACGGAGTAGACACTTTAGAGATGAGTAGTATAAATCGCATGCRTTACACCAATATYGTTTCTTCTTCTCTGAAAAGACTGATGGAGATGTGTCCTCGCTGACAGAAGTACTTTGCTCTTGGGTTTTATTACAGTTSTCTTGGTGGCTCACAAGCTCACTGTAAAGATCGAAGCCAACATCACATCTGTCACACTGGAAGCGAACCCTTTCAGGCTGTTCTATGCTGGTCTCTGGTTCTTCAACTGGATTAACATTGSTCTCAAGTTGCAGCAACTCACCTTTCAGGTCAGCATTCCACACTGACTTGTGGATATATCTAATATGTCTAAGGAGACCCACTTTGATGGCATATTTTTTGGGGCAATGTTGGCATTGGTGAGTTTCYCCGAARTGGACATTAAGATGAGCTCTGTAGGATTTATTACATCCAAAGGTCTTGTTGCATCCATTGCAGTGCACATCATCATAATGAAGAATAAAGTGTTCATCTAAGGCTTGAGCTGATGAAAATTTCTTGTCACACTGAAAGCATTGCACAATATTACCCTTTGATTGCAGTGCATTACCAKAACCATCCTCCATAAGCGAGTCTTTACTCTCATCAAGAATTTCTACATTCTCTGGACTGTTGCTACCTGTTGGGCTGCCMGTGTTGTTTGCTTGGGATTGTGTCTCAATRCTATGACATTTGATGTGCTTTTTCAGAAAGATGTGTGAGGTAAATGCTTTACTGCAGTAAGGACAGGGGTGAAGCTTGATTTTGTTTCCTCTTCTACTATTTTCTCTYCTCTGAGGCTCAATATTTATGCCTGGTTCTTGTTTGATTTGCTGGACATTGGTATTTACTGGGTTTGCTGAGCTGACATCCTCCATACAGACATCTGCTGGTTCAAAGTCAGTTTGGGTTGCCTGTGTTTTGAGCTCTTTTGTTGYAGAGAARGGCAATGGGTCAGTTTCTGTTCCAACATTTTTGGTGCATTTTGAAGTGATTGTTTGTGAATCCTGGGTGGTATCTTGGAACAGTATATCTTTGAACCTCTTTGTACACTAAAAATGTAAACAAATAGTAATATTATTAATGATCCATGGTCCACCTTGACAATTAAATTCAGTAATGGTTCAGATTTTTAATAATGTGCTGTAGATGAAGTCACGCACTGTCATGCATACTCTATTTAGAATATACCACAGTTCTCTGCCAATCAAAGTGTACAAAGCATAATATAGAAATAAAGGAAAGTTAAATAGTGCTAGGAAGGAGGTTATTCCAGGAGAAAAATCCTTGGAAAAATTAATTTGGAAAAATTAATTTCCGACCTAATTGGGATTCGAACCCACGACCCTCGGATTTGTATTACCAATGCTCTACCAGCTGAGCTACATGGTATGCCTGGGAGCAGGTCAGGGTGAAATCTGTACAGAGCATATACATGTACAAATAATAAATAAAAACAAGTGATCTCTGTTTGCTTTTGAATCTCCAAAAAATCAGATACAATTACATAACTCTAAAGTTACAGCTTTTATAGCGATTTTTACAGATCAGATACAAAAAAAAAATAAATAAAAAATCAGATACACATTCTAATGAACAAAATCAAATGGTGTATGGAATATGGCAGAACTCTTCAATTTGTACCTGGAGAGGATGCCATTTTCTTATCATTGAGAATTTGACACAAGAATATAAGTTCTCAATTCTTTTGTTTTTGTTCATCAGGGTTCGCGCTAGATCTCTTGTCAAAATTTCAAGGACTTTTCAAGCACAAAAAYATTGATTTTCAAAGACAAAAAATTAAATTTCTGTAATGGAATCCCTGTGATATCAAGCTGCGCATGCRCGTACAAAAGACACAGGAATCCAAAGAGTGAGAAAGCATGAGCGGGCCAACAGAAAAAATACGTCCAGAAGTTTACACTTTTTAAAGTGCTTTTYAATCTTACAAGATTGAAAATACAACTCTGAGTAAAAAATTAAAGTAGTTTTCAAGGATTTTTGGCATTTTTCCCATTTTCAAGGGCTTTTCAAGTGTACTTCTGAATCAAGGGCTTTTCAAGGAGTTCAAGGAGTAGCACAAACCCTGAATGCAAAGAACATTATAAGACAATTCCCTGAAAAACAATACGATTTTTAAGGAGTATTTTCTGCACTTGGTTTTAAATTTTGTTTGTGTTAGTACTTACAGCACATGAAAGCCAACGATACTCCTCTGTAAATTTGTTATAGAAAAATAAAATATCCCCATTGCTACTCTGATAGGCATACCATCCATCACCCATCCTAAGAACTGGGCACTAGAAAAACAAAATACATATTTTGATTAAATTTTAATTATTGTTTTTGGAGGCTCTGGTAAACTAGGGTGGGTWATTTGAATACAGAAAACCCAATTGAACAGGGTAGAGCAAGTATAGTTTACAACATGAGSGGCTGTGTTGTATGGGAATGTTGKAAACGCCTTATAAAACTCCAACACTAATCAACATGAATTACAGTCAGATAATTGACAAAAAATGACAATTAAGGTAACTGCTGAGTTTAGTTGTTTAGTTTACCAAGCACTGAAGAAATAAAACAAATAACAACAAAACATGCAGTTTTTATTGTTTTATTTCTTGTACTTTGCTTTACTTCAATATTCGGCTCGGCTGTAAATGATTGAGTTCTAATAATTGAAAAGTGATCTATATGCGCTTCATTGAAATCAATATTCAAATAAATATAATTTGTTAGTTTGATTGACTTCATGGACAATTTAACCTCACTCAGTATTTGCCCAGCGTAACTAATCAATGAAAATCGATCATCGGAAAGCTAATCGATAAATTGATATTACTCGATATATCAAACTGATTAGTATTGATTAGTATCGGTAATCGATAAAAATCGATAATCACAAAAAACATAGAAATATCGATTAATATCGATTACTTTCGCTGAGTACCAAAAATAAAATCTATCAAAAACACAGTTTTCGGAACTGGAACTGGACTCATCTCAGACGCTGTGCTYGAGAATCACGACTGAAGCAACAAGAAAGAGAGTAAAGGAAGCAGGGTCCACCTGAAGATATGACAATTGTGTGTTACTCAAGGAAATTCTCGATGGACTAAATATTACCTACAAATCCAATTCTAAAAAAGCAGAGCTAATCCTCAAAGTAAAACAGGCACGAGGTGCTGCTCCTTTAAACGCTGGTCCGACAAATCCTAGCCGAATAGAGATCCTAGATCAGGGCACAGAAATCTGACAGCGTGCGGATTCTGATTAACTTTGTGTATTTTTTCGACAGAAGATACGAAGTACAAGAAATCTTTCTACTCCAGCATGTACTCTTTCTTTTAAGTATTCTAGAAATGTCCATGAACGTTAATCTTTATCTTTGTGTTATAAATACTGATGTTTTATCGGGTATGCTTGTTATTTATGTTGTTCAACTTGTTTATAAATGAAAGTTTTTTWTGAATAATCCTCAACATTTCAACATGATAGAGTCAATAACGTCTTCAGCGTAATCATTTATAAGTAAATTCAGTACAAAACGAACGAAATAGGAAATCGATAAAAATCGATGAAATTTGATAATCACAGCAAAGCCGAACATCGATTTTTATYGATTTCCGATAATGATCGATCGAGTTATGGTTTGTATCGATTAGYATCGATTTTATCGATTAATAGATTTCATCGATTAGCAATCTCGTACCCAGAGTCTTCGTTCTCTTGGCCAGCRCCGAAAACRTAAGACTCTGGGGTATYGGAATTTTTTGTGAATTTTGATTGGTTCTTGAAATTGAAACAAATGCCGCCGGAAGTGAAATTGCACCAAGGAAAAGATGCAAATTCATGATTTATCTCGAAATTTTACCTTAGATTCTTACTTTAAAATTATTTATTAAGTCATTCAAGCAGGAAATTGTGATGAACAAGATAAGTGCATTACCGAAATGCAGTTAAATTTAGTTGYGACGAACTGTCGCGCCAACCGTCACGATCGGAAAACATTCTAAATTTTCTATGATCAAACCATAATCTGTCCGAATTTACTTTGTCGAAGGAAGATCAATTACTTGGGATCTTGTACGTTCCTATTTTGACTTTCTTTAAGGCGATTTTCTTGAGGAAATTCGATCCAAAGCCGTTTGGATATCGAGTCATGCGCAGTGGRAACCGGAAGACAGAAATCCATGTAAAAATTCCGTTATCCCAGAGTTTAGTGTTTGTCGAGGTGCTGGCCAAGAAAAACGAAGGCTCGGGGTACGAGATTGATCGATTAGTTACGCCKGTGTATTTGATAGAAAATCAACGCCAAACTCCTTGGGCCACACAATACTGTGTTCTAAGTGTTCTAAATTCTATTTAGAACTTATTGCAATTATTTTATCAAATTGTAATACAACCCCCAATTATTTGAATTTATTGGGTATGGTGACAGAAAAGGGAGGGAAATAGAGAGTGGAGGCGTTGCATGATCTTGTGTTTGCATSTAGAAAGGAAAAGTTCAAAGATCAAAACAAACTGAATCAGAAAAAGWTKGSMWMARKTKRWTKKTWRRAA